GAGCTATCCCTACACAGTTAGTGCTCCCGCCTGCCTTATATATGTGTGTGTGTCAGTTAATCTGGTGATAGGTGGGTGCAGTTAAATCAACATATTTCATTATGGCGGTCTATAAGGCAGAATGCGTGACAAAATAACACTACTTAATGCTTGTACATAGCATGATATTCATTTGAAATACACATTATGGCGGTCTGTAAGGCAGAATGCGTGACAAAATAACACTACTTAATGCTTGTACATAGCATGATATTCATTTGAAATACACATTATGGCGGTCTGTAAGGCAGAATGCGTGACAAAATAACACTACTTAATGCTTGTACATAGCATGATATTCATTTGAAATACATCTTGACTTAACAGAATCTGCCCAGGGTTCGAAGGTATGGTATTTTCCATTAGTCCTCTGCATCATACATATCAATCTAGTCAGTAGAAATCCAATTTTCATCAGCTGTATCTTTTAAGTACACGTCACTCGTGTCGTGTTGCAAGACGCAGGGATGTGTCCTCTGTATAAATTTTGCTGGAAACAGCACTAATTCAGGCCACTAAAGTTATTAGCCTTTAATGGATGAAACAGTGCACCACCCCTAATGTATTCACACCTGGTGTCGCACGTATTCCACCACACCTTTCTATTCTCGCACACGTTTTACGCTTCTGAAGTTTAAAATTACCGTAAACTAACGTTTCTATATTTATATTAGTCTCTGTATGTATAAATTCCGTAATCAACAGCGGTTCATTGTATAACAAAACAGTTAGTGTCCTTTTCTCTATATCTGTTGTGTTAAAGCACAACTCTGGAACATATTTCCAGGTTTCTTCTAGAAACTCATAAAATGTATTTAAGTTAAAAAACTAATTAGTAAAAAAAAAACTGGTAAATAAAATAAAACTGGCTTACCTCTCATGATCTTCCAGTAAAAAATCAGTAAATTCCAAATTTATCTTCTTGGGATTAGGTGCACGAATCTCGTAGTAGCACTCTATCAGATCTGGGTAGTATTCTGGGTATCCAGGGCTGCTGATGATGTCATGAGGGTGGTTAGCATCAAGAAAGAAGGTCTCATTGCAGTCTTCTGTATTGAAGGTTTCAATGTGAACTACGATAAAAAATTTGGCTTTAAAAATGAAATAATTTATTTTGAAAACAGATTAATCGAACAAACAAGGTTTTTTAAAACAAATATTAGTTATTATTTAAAAGTAATTTTAGAAGGAAGAATGAGGCTTTTCTTGGAAGGTTTTGTTCAGGGATTGAGTTACCATAAAGTCGTTCGTTTCATATACTAGTACAGGTCTTCTGGTCAATGAAATAACTGAGATATATAACAATTTACCTGGAAAGGACTAATGAAGGCCTATAATAGCAGATAAAATAAAATAACCTCGTGCACAAAGCACTTTGAATCTTTCACGAAAACAAGCATTTTAAACAATAAGGCTATTTTTACAGTGTGACCCAACAGAATTTTATTAGTATCAATAAGGTGCATTGTATCTTAGGTTATTTTTACATTGTGGCTCAACAAAATGTTGCCAGTATTAATTAGGTGCATGGTATCTTAGATTATTTTTACAGTGTGACCCAACAAAATGTTATTAGTATCAATAAGATGTGTGGTATCTTAGGTTATTTTTACAGTGTTACCCAACAGAATGTTACCAGTATCAATAAGGTGCGTGGTATCTTAGGTTATTTTTACAGTGTGACCCAAGAAAATATTATCACTATAATACGACATTATCTGAACGAATTGCATGTACGGCCATTTTTCTATACACTTGTGACAATTTGCTGAGATACACTGTTACATCTTGAAGGTCTAATTAAATACATTTAATAGTAAAGCTTTAAGTTGTTGTGACATATATAATGTTAAAATTCAGCATTAAAATACGGAATACGTGAGAAATAGAGTTTTGATATTAACATCGGAGAAGTGTTGTTCATGAAACTGTACATTTTTAATGTCACTCGATAAGAATGTCAAACGGAAAAGTATCGATCCCCCCCCCCTGCTGTTAATCCTAGGATCCAACTTCCGTGGAAATATATTTTCAATTTTCATCAATAGTTGCTTTATGCAAACATCTTGAAACAAGAGGATGTTTTAAAATATATTAACAAAAACGTAAACTTTATCCTGAGGGTGAACACCCTCACAATACTTTGTTTGCTGTGATATTAAAGGTACAAACGTACATTATACCCAACAAACCGAACGTCAATTTCAAAGTGGGGGTTAAGTTCATGCTTGTGTAACGTATTTATCTTTATTTAGCTTTTCTAGAATGTTAACCTGCGTTCATGCATTTGTTACGTTTGACTTTCAGATATTTTCAGATATTTCAAGTAGATAGAATTTCTGGTAACCTAATTTCCATTCTTGGTTAAAAAGTACTTTTTTTTCTGAAAAATGCAAAATGACATTCTGTTTTATTTCTTCAAAATAATTTTAGGTATTGTCTGATAGTACAATTAAATCTACAATATATATATAATGAGAGCAGTTTTGAAAATGTTATTCTTGGCTTGGTTTAACGCAAACCGGAGTTTATTACGATGCATTTTTTAAACATAAATAAAATAACAACTTGTATCTCTAGAATGTAATTTTATTTGCTCAATATTTTGTTATATCGATAGGATATCAGTTAACTAATTGGAACTGACAGTAAACTGACAGGAAATCGATAGCTCCTGACGAAGCTGTAATAGCGAAATATTGAGCTAATAAAGTTATTTTATTTACGTTTATAAAAACATTCAGTTTTGAAAATATTTCCTTTGTACAAATGGGACTAGAAAATCTTACTACTGGATGTGTCTACGCAAACTACGTATAACAAGGATATGGTTAGCGTACCCACACTGTGAATCCAAAGGCTCTTGGTTCGCGTACCGTTAGTGCAAGAACACGCTTCGCACTTTGGGCCAGTGGTTACGCTATAAAAGTGGTGGTGGCCAAATCCCACTATTTAGTGAAACACAGAGCCGGTGGAGAGTGTTTTGGGTTAATTTCCTTTTCTCTAGTATATCTATTGAAAACTGGGACGGCTACGTGCGGTTAGCCCTTGTGCAACCTTGCGCAAAAAATTTAAAACAAATATTTATATGACTCAGATGTTTATGAATAATGTCATGGAGACGACCAATTTGTTCAATGTACGAAACCTCTCACTACTTGCAAATTACACAGTAAACAAAGCTACGCAATGGGCTATCTGTGCTGTATACCCACCACAGGTATCGAAACCCGGTTTTTAGCATTATACGCCTTCAGATTTAACGCTGAGCCACTGGGGAGGGCAAGAAGTTTAAACCGCTTAACTTGTGTATTATTGTTGACAAATGGCCCGAATGTGAACAGGAAATTTTGTTTCGTGATAGCAGACTGCAAGATACTTAGGCTCAATCAGTAAATACCATGTGTATAGTAACGTCTTCAGCTTTCTCCAAAATATATTTTTCTATTATTTTTAGCTAACAATATAATATTTTAAGACTAAAATGCTTCATTCCTGGAGACCAAAAATATTACAATTTTTTTATCAGTAACCTTACTCACAGTCAGATGCCACTGAAGTGATTATTTTAAAAATCAGGAAGTTTATGAACTTGTCACAGTCTATCCGAATAAGTTACACGAACATTAATCCTTCCTTTATCTTAACGCCTCGAGCTTAATTATTTTTACACCTGTTTACTAAATTTGATTTCTTTTTAACAGTTCTTTATGTCAGTAGATTTCTCCGATGAATAATAATTTTACACAGCGAATTATTTGTTTATTTATTTTTCCACACACATACACATATATATATATATTGTTGTTTTATTGTTTTAACCAGTCGCATCACGATACAGTAGTGTGTTGTCTGTCAGTCAATCAGTAGACACTAACATGACGTCACATAAGGGACGCTTAACGTTGCAATTTGTACTGTCGTGACGTCAATAAAATGTGCGCATGTCATGAATCACTAGAAGAATTATGCACTATGTATGCTAAAAACCAGCATGATACATATGAACTTCAAAAGCAAGAAATAAAAATATTTGTTACTCTTAATTTTGGCTTTATTTACTCTTGAAACAGAATACTTTCGGGGACCCTGTGAAAGTACATCTAGTAGATATATATGTATATATTATTGCAACTGTATCTGTTACATATTGAATATTATGCAGATTGTTGCATAGATTATTGCAAAGTTATATTGTTGCATATTCAATATTCTACATATTGTTATATATATATTACTATCACGTCATAATGTTTGACATTAAATGTTCTATGTATTTTTCTATGTAACGTTAACTCTTAGCACGTTCACTTATCTACGTACTTGTTGCAATATTAATGTAACAGTCAAATGTTACATATTTAATGTTTCACGTATTGTTGTATATGCTATTGTAACGTTGAAATGTTACATACCCAATGTTTTGTGTTTTGTTGCAGCTTGATATTATTGGAAGACTTGAAACAATAATAAACGATAAATTTCCTAAAAATAGTGACAAAAATACAGATGTGCAGTCAAGCCAATGCCTTGGATCATAGCGTATATGCAATGTGATTGTCTAGTGGGCCGTTTACAACCATATTTTGTTATTCTATGTGTTATTTCAACAAGGAAAATTACATTGCATTTGTTTTTTAGCAAAGGAGATTGACTGCAATGCACTGTTGGCAAAAATGTTAGGATTTCTGTGAAATGGGTGTATCCAGTACAACAGAACGATGAGGTTTGCTAAGTAGCCGAGGGGATTTTTTTCCGCAGGATGCCGCCATTCGTTGTCATTTTACTGAGTGCAAGAAAATACCGCTATCAAAGTGAGCGATTTTTGAAAGTCGTCATTTCTATAAGAAGTGTTAAAGGATATGTTAAATTCAATTCAAATCAATTTATTTGACATGGTACAATAAAATCGTGCATGTATAAAATACCGACATGAAAAATATGTATGTAAACCGAACAACAACAAATATATGCTCAAACATGTTTCTGTCTTAATGCGTTTTTTCTATTAATGCTCCTATCTTCGAATTATTTCTTTCAATCAGTCGACGAAGGAAGTCCCTTTTTTTTGTGAAATTCCCTCACAACAAGAAACATCCTTGTTCTTAGTAATACGTTTTTGTTTTTTTTTCATATTGACCGTTCAGCACATACCAAGACTAATGGAACGATATTGATATCAATACGTAATTTTAGGACTTTCGAAAAGTGAATTATTTTTTCTGCAATGTACTCTTGAAAGAAGTATTTTGATGTGTACTTTTTTTTCTACGATTAATCGTTCATAAGATACAAAGCGTGACAGGCAGAGAGACATTTGAATATTATATATACATAGCTTGTTCTTCTAAATGTTTTCATACATATTATAATATCGAGACCATCTGACTTTATACTATCGTTCAAAAGTTCACTTCTCGTGCACATTTCTTATGATCAATAACTTATATTTGTAATATCTTTCCATCTTCCAGTGCTCTACTATTGATCAAAAAAAGGGTTGTTTTTCGAAACGTCACCACTTGCACTTGTGTTTTAGTAATATTAAATTATTTAAATTTGTATCTGTAGAATTGGTTTCACCCTATTTGTTAATTATACATATTTTTTTGCATCATTCTGTCAGATGGTATCAACTATACAAATAAAAATTTCTGATATGAAAGCTTGTTTTTCCCCTGTTCATTTCATTGATGTAAAAATACAGTTAAAATCTGTGCTAATCCTTAGCAAAAGTTGCATGAGGTCTTGCTTTGTTGAGTTAAAATAACATTTAAAACTAATTTTATCTCTCAAATAAGTTCATAAGATATACCATAAAATAAAAGTTATGCATTTAATTTAAACGATAATTTAAAATAATGAAAATACTGGGAATGACAAATCCCCCTAAACATACAGCCCGTTAGTGAATTGTGTGATTTGAGTAACCTGTTTCTTGGAGCCCACCTTCTAAGCCCTGGTCTGGTTAAAATATGATCTAATAAGTTAGATATGCTGATTAAACCAAGAATGTAGTATAACTTCTTAACATATATAATGTATGGATACATTTATAGCGAAAGAAGTTTAT